TATTATTTTTTGTTTTTAACAGATGATCCATTAGTGGTCTCATTTGTATATACTATCTCGCAAGAAATTGTTTATCATTTAAATAATGTCGCATCAATTGCCATCATCAAGCATTCTTCAACCCTAGATCCTAATCGTTCTGTACAATCACAAGTTCAATTCATAAATTTACCTGGCCAAGCAAGCAATGAATCCGGTTCTATTAACGTGAGCCCATATGAAGCTCTTCACTCTTATATCCATTATGCAGTTGCGCCGTACTTCGATGCTTATGTTAATGCTAAAGGTGTTAACTCTGAAGGGGGTGTTGGGATCAATAAAAAACACGATGATAATAAAATGGGTAACCTTTATTCTACGTTTCTAATAAAAATTTAACTTGTCGTTACTTAGTATGATAAACAAATTTCCATTTTTGCAAAAAAAGGCATCCCAATGACGAAAAAGAAGATCTCCGAGTTGGAGTTAGCTCTTGTTCATTTGCAACAAAATGTTGAAATTCCTGAAATATCTCTTAATATTAATCCGGTCGTTACAAAGGCCGTTGAAAGGGTATCTTTCTTTATGTCATGATTTTTTTTTTTTGTTGTGTGGAATGATTAATAACATTATACTTTACTACACAGGCTAAACAAGAAGGCAGAAGGATCAGCGTTGACTTTATTGAACAAGCTTTACTTACTAATACTGACTTTTTGAATAAGCTTCAAGGGGGTGTAAACAGTTGGATCAAAGAGATCCAAAAAGTAACAAAACTATCACGTGATCCAGCAAGTGGCACAGCTATGCAAGAGATAAATTTCTGGTTGGGTATGGAAACTGCACTTGAGGAAGTTGATGTCCAGCTTAAAAGCGATCAGATCGGTACGAATATAAGTTAGATTGTAATTAATTTAATTATATGTGTGGTTAATTATTTATCTTTTTTGATCATTATAGTTTTGACATTGGACATTCTCAGACATGCCAAACGTTTCCATGCTACTGTGTCTTTTATTGCTGATACTGGATTAAAAGAAGCAAAGGAGAAAGGTATTCATTTATATATTTAACAATACTTTTACGATAAAATTTCAAATAAATAATTATTAATCTATTCCACTATCAATATCAGTTCACAAATATAATCAATTAATGAAAGACTTTCCTCTTGGTGAATTGTTATCCGCTCCTAATGTCGAAAAGATTAAAGAGGCATTAAATATTGTTTTCGCGCATTTCACTAAGAAAATGAGATTATCGTAAGTATTAATTATGTAATTTTAACACCATATCGGCGGATTTACGGAATTAAAAATTGGACCTTAAAAAAGACTCCAAATTATATTTGTTTTTGGTCAGATGATCGGCAAAACACTGATCAAGTATAAATAAACCCGTTAGATAAGCGCAAAACCCATTAGATCTTAGAGATAAGACGCATAAATATAATGATAATTATATGAAATTCAGGGTTCTGAAAAAAATGCAAATCCGCAGATATTCTTAAAATTTAATTCTTTTTGTTACTGACCACCAAATTCTAAATTCATTTTCGGTTGTTGTAAATAGTCCATATCCAATCAAGAAAGCACTTGCTCTTGTAGAGGCCATCTCTCGTGATTTAAATGACGTATTACTAAAGGTTTTAGGTAGTCGTCGTTTGATGTACATGGAATATGATGAGTTTGAAAAAGTTATGTCGGGTGCTGAGGAAGTTTTTAAAACCTGGGATGAGATGATTAAAGAATTCACGAATGTAGCACGTGATGTTATGCGTAAACGCTCTGACAAATTTATTCCAATCAAAATAAGCCCTGCACATGATAAATTGCAAGAGCGTGTTGCATTCGTTAGAAATTTTAGGAAACAACACGAGCAACTTCATCAGACAATTGCTAAAGTCATGACTCAACCAAAGAGTACCACAAAAATTGTTGTCGAAGGCGAAAATAATGTAGCTCCACAAGAAGGTGTTGGCATGAACGATATCAATTCTATGGAAGAAGTAAAAGTGGCATATGAAAGTGTCAAGGATATTGATGTGTTAGATGTTTCGATTGAAGGCACAGAAATCTGGATGCAAGCTGAAAATGCATATAACGAACGTGTTTCAAGAGTAGAAAATCAAATTATTGCAAGTCTACGAGATCGACTTGGTACATGTAAAAATGCTAATGAAATGTTTCGTGTATTTCAAAAATTCAATGCTTTGTTCGTTAGACCGAAGGTAAATTATTTTATAAGGGCGTTGTTCATGTGCTATCGTTATGTTAATCATTTTATATCATTATTAGATTCGTGGTGCTATTCAAGAATATCAAAATGAACTTATTGACAGAGTTAAAAAAGATATATCTAAACTTCATGAGAAGTTCACTCAACAATATCGTAAATCTGAAGCGAATCACATGGCTCAGCTTCGTGATCTTCCTGCTATCTCTGGTGCAATGATTTGGGCTCGTCAAATTGAGAGACAATTACAAACCTATATGAAACGTGTTGAGGATGTTCTTGGTAAAGGTTGGGAGATGTATGCAGACGGTCAAAAATTACAAAGTGAAAGCAATAACTTTAAAAAGAAATTAGATACGAGACCGGTAATTATTTATTTTTCAAAATTAATGAGTTCTATAACTATTTTTGTTAATGTACGCATATAAATCTTTATATAGATTTTTGAAGCCTGGCAGAAGGACATTACACAACGTGGCGATTTGAATGTGACCGGAAGATTATTTGAAATTACAAAAAATCGAGCTCAAGGAAATATTCTTCAATTAGGCGTAAATTTTGATCCACAAATAATTACCTTATTTAAGGAGGTGCGTAATTTATTATGGCTAGGTTATCAAGTTCCACACAATATAAGCACGAGCGCAAAAGTTGCCAAGCGTGTATATCCTTTCGCTGTGAGTCTTATGGAAACAGTTAGGACATATGCACAAACAGTGCAAAAAGTTCAGAAACATCCTGAGGTCATAATGTTGGTTGCCAGCTATCGTAACGGTGTACAAGTCATGATCGCTAAAGGTATCACTTTTGAGTGGAAATATTTTGTGGACACTTATGATCGTAATTTCCGTGGTGCAATGGATTCTCCTGAGAATCAACATATTACTTTTGTACGAGAATTTGCAAATACTGTTTCAGAATTTCAAGATAAAGTTGATGCCTTGATTACTAATTATGAAGATATATCGCGTTTAATTGAAGACTTAAAAACTTGTGCATATCAGTTGAAAAAATTCAAGTCCAACTTGGAAAAAATTCAAAAATTGGTGAGTTAATTAAATATAACTTTGTAAAACCTATTAAGTAATCAATATATTAAACTTATTCTTTTTTAATTTTGTAGATTGACCGTCTTAATCTTGAATCTTATTCTAATCTTGACGCTTGGGTTGCGCAACTTGACAAACGGATTGAAACCGTCTTGTCTCAACGATTACAACGTTCAATAGCTTCATGGACAACTGAATTCATTTCATCCAGTGACGAATCTACTGTTATAGAGGCAATTTCTCATGAAACCTCAACTAGTAAAGGTACAAAGAGTGTCCGACGTAGAACTATTAGAAATGATTCTTTTGATGGTGGAAGACCGACAATTGCAAAAGCTGAAAAACCTGTGCTTCAGCAATCTGTTCACATAGTGCGTATTAGAAATCAAGTAATTTATTTGGATCCGCCAATTGAAGATGCCAGAACTCAATGGTATAACCAATTACACGAATGGCTTTGTAAGTCTGATTCTTTGGCTTATTGTTTAATTACAATTACTTAAACTTTATTATTAAAGATATACATTTTTAAATTTTATTAGCGGTTGTATGCAATTTACCAAGAATTCAAGGTTCACGTTATGATATTGATCTACAAGTTAGAGGATCCACCGTTTCTCGAGAAACCACATATTCCAATTTATTGGCGCAAATTCCTGATGGCTCACTAGAAAAAGCATATGAAGTCATTGAAACCAAATTGAAAGAAGTATCTGAATATGTTAACAAATGGTTTCAGTTTCAATCATTATGGGATCTTGAACCTAATTATATTTATGATCGACTTGGTGATGATCTTAATAAATGGAAACAAATTCTTTCGGAGATAAAGAAATCACGCACTACGTTTGATAATTCAGAGGTCGAAAAATCCTTTGGCTTTATAGTAGTTAATTACGAACAGGCACAAAGCAAAGTAAATGCCAAGTATGATCAATGGCAACGTGATGTTCTTGCTAAATTTGGTATTAAACTTGGTGATTCCATGAAAGAATTTCATTCAGCAGTTTCAAATTCTCGCAAAGAACTTGAAAATAAATCTATGGAAAGTAATAATACAAGTGAAGCTGTTGCTTTGATTACTTTCGTACAAGACCTCAAACGTAAGGTTAATAAATGGAGCCAAGATGTTGAGATATTCCGTGAAGGACAAAAAACTTTAGAGCGACAACGGTATCAATTTCCAAGTGAATGGCTATATATTGAACAGGCTGAAGGTGAATGGAGTGCCTTTAACGAAATCTTAGAGAAAAAGAATAATCAGATTCAAGATCAAATTGGTAATTATTTATTAATTCTATTAATTCCATTATTATAAGATAGAGAGTATATATATAATTTTTTACACATATTTCTTCTTGAAATGTTATAGATGGATTAAAATTGAAGATTGTTGCCGAGGATAAAAATGTTGAAGAAAAAATTAAGACGATTATTTCTGAATGGGACACGAACAAGCCAATACAAGGAGATATTAAACCGGACATTGCAACAAATACACTCACTATTTACGAAAGAAAAGTTACTCGTCTTAAGGAAGAATATGACATGGTTTGTCGTGCAAAAGAGGCACTTGACATGGCCTTTACTAATGAGGATCGTTTAGATAACGTTCTTGAAGAACTTAAAGATCTCAATTCTGTCTGGAAATCTCTTTCAAGTGTTTGGAAATCAATTAATGAATTAAAAGAATCCTTATGGTCTACTATAGTCCCACGAAAAATTCGTCAACAATTGGATAATCTTCTTAATGATATTAAAAAGATGCCAGGTCGTATGCATTCATATAAACCATTTGAATACGTTCAAGAAACTGTGAAATCCTACCTTAAATTGAACCCAATTCTTTCTGAGCTCAAATCTGAAGCACTGAAAGAGCGTCATTGGAGACAACTATTCAAGGCCCTTAAACTCGATGGCCGTTTCCTTTTAAGCGAAATGACAGTTGGTCATGTTTGGGATTTCGATCTTAAAAAAAATGAGCAAGTAATAAAAGACATT